TGTTTTGGTGCAGAATGGCATTTTCTGCACAGAAATCTTGCTTTCCAACACAGGCAGTTTTATTTTTTATTTATTGACTTTATTTATACGCCGCCTTTCTCAAAGGCTGGGACCCGAGGTGGCTTCTAAAACAAAAAATTAAAAACGTTTACCAAAAAAACACACACATTTAAAACCAATATTAAAACACTCTAAAATTAAGTTCTGTTTTCTTTGCAGAACAGTTGCAAAAATAAAAAATAAAAATCCCAAGGGATTCTGGGAAATGAAGTCCTAACAGGAAACATTGGCAGGCGCAGCTCCAACTCTCCAGGTGCAAACTCATGGAAAAAATTATAAGCCAATGTCCAAAGAAGTCAGGAAAGAGGCAGGCAAGGAAGGCTTGGTTCGATGCCTACACATTGACGTCAATGGGACTTCTCCAGAGCAAGTGGTTTGGAAGCGACTAGGGCATCTCAACCAAGAGCTCACATCTGATGCAGCCCTGGCTTCTTAAGTACATATTGACTGAGGTTGTCAGCCTGAAAATATATTTGTGGTTCTCTTGGAGGCATGACTGTCCCTCCCCACCCCTTAACACATGGCATTCAGAATTGCAAAAATATGTTGGTTTAAAAATACCCTACGATCAATTTCAAAGCAAGCTGGGTTTTTTATTTAAAAAAAAATGTTTAAAAACCACAAGCGTCTATACATATAGATCTCATCCCTTTTTGCATCAGGGTTGCATATCAATATGGGGTCTTTTAAAAATAAAGTGAATCAATTAATCCGTGCAGCTTTCCCAAACTCACTAGGAATGCACCAAAGGATGGAAAGCAACAGGGCCTACATTGAATAGCTTCCACCCATGCCAAAATTTTTGCAACCCCAAACTGAAATTGCAAAATTTCTGCAACCCAAACTCTTTATTTTGCAAGCCAACGTGTTTCCTGTGTCAAATCAGTTTTGTGTCCTGCCTGCCATATTCGGCAACATCCCAGAATATTAGAAAAAGTGAATACATATGTTTGTCCCTAGTGTAGGTGAAACGAGACCTGGGAAATGTTCTCTTTTTTGGGGGGACTGCAACTCCCAAAATTACCCAGCCATGCTTTCAAAAGCTAGAGAAAGTCCCTTCAAACCGGAGCTTGGGAAATTGGCTTTTTACAACAAATTCTAAGAATATTTCACTTTCTTAGGGAAAATCACTTTGCACCAAGAAAAATCGCTTTACAGTGCCTAGAATCCCCAAAATGTATGGATTATGGGAGTTCTAGTCAAGAAGTAAAATTTGGCCATGGTCAGATCTGACACATTTTTTAAAGTTACTTCCATATGCATCAGGATTGCTCACTACAAACGCTGGTAAATTAGTAACCTCGGCGCTGCAAGGTAAATTTGGATGGTCAACTTGAGAAAATCCTAGATGTGTTGGAGACTCAAGGACTGGATCTGGTCTGCAATTCAAAGTGAACTGCCATTCTTTGTACCTCCTGACTTACTACTGCAGGGTTGAGGGGGGGGGAAATAACTACCTTTTCAGGTTTTGCACTCTGGCCATGCTCAGAGGTTGACCCACAGTAAGAAAAAAGGACATGGATTGGCTGGTGGCATTCCATAATCTCCAACATTTCACAGATGAAAACCAGGTCACATGCGGCCAAGCAGCATCAGAGTGTGGTCAAGATGTCAAAAGTTATCAATGGGGAAGAACATACAGGATAAGAAAGGGACATTTTGAAAGCATCTGAAAAAGTGGAATAGCAGAGGATTCATTGGGCCTAAAGGCACCAGATCCTGCCTGATCTTAGCAGCTGCTCAGGGTCAGCCCTGGGATGGGAGACTGCCAACAAAATATCTGGTGCTGTAGGCTGTATTTTGAAAGAGGGAACTGACAAAATCTCCTTCTTTGGAGGTGTTTAAGCAGAGGCTGGATGGGCATCCGTTGGGAGTGCTTGGATGGTGTCTTCCTGCATGGCAGAATGGGGTTGGACTGGATGACCCTTGGGGGTCTCTTCCAACTCTAGAATTCTATGAAATTACAGGATTCCATCTAAACATTAGGAAGAAATTCCTGGTGGTAAGAGTTGTTGGACAATGGGTGACATGATAGCTCCATTTAAGTATTTGGAGGAGTGTCACATTGAGGATGGAGCAAGCTTGTTTTCTGCTGCTCCAGAGAACAGGACACAGAGCCAATGGATGCCAACTGCAGGAAAGGATATTCCACCTAAACCTTAGGAAGAACTTTCTGAGGGTAAGTGCTGTTGGACAGTGGAAGCCGCTGCCTTGGAGGGTGCTGGAGTCTCCTTCTTTGGAGGTTTTTAAACAGAGGCTGGATGGCCATCTGTCAGAGGTGCTTTGAATGTGAGTTCCTGCCTGGCAGGGGGTTGGACTGGATGGTCCTATGGGGTCTCTTCCAACTCTAGGCTTCCATGAATTGGACCTAAGTACTCCAAAGGCACCAGATCACAGCTGATCTTAGAAGCTAAGCAGGGTCAGCCCTGCTTAGTACTTGGATGGGAGACCACCAGTGAATCCCAGGTGCTATAGGCTCATATTTCAGAGGAATGAACGAGCAAAACCTCCTCTGAGTATTCTTTGCCTAAGAAAACCCCATGAAAACAACAGAATTGCTGTAAGTCTGCTGCCAACGTGAAGGCAGTCCCACACAAACCCCCAGGAAGCTAAGCAGGGTCTGTCCTGGTTGGTACTTGGATGGGAGACTACCAATGCAACCTGGGGGCTGTTGGCTGTGTTTCAGAGGAAGGAAATAGCAAAAAAGCTCCTCTGAGTATTCTTTGCCTAGGAAAACCTTGTGAAATGTAGGGTGTCCCCGTAAGTGGACAGGCGACTTGAATTCATACACAGCGAGAGGAGATGAATGTGCAGCTGTTCCTGCAAAACTGAGGCCGCCGGAGGATATGGCATCCTGGGGGCCCTAATGCACAAAAGGAACTTTTCCAAACTTGGGCTCCTGCTGCAATAGAAATGGGAAGAGGCTTGCAGGGCCTTCTCCTTGCTCTTCTAGATTGCTGCTGCAGGAAACTCCAAAAGAGGGGGGGCTGGAGAGGGGCGGGGTGGGGGTGTGGCCAGGCCAGCCTTCTGGTTGACTGCCCGGTGGTCACATGACCAGCCCTGCTGACCAATGGGGTGGGAGCAGCCCTGGGATTTTATAGCTTGTCCCTCTGGCTCCAAATTCCACATGCCAGAGGCTCAGAAGGAGCTTGCATTGCCCTCTCTCTCTCTCTCTCTTGCAAGAATAAAAAAGCCTTTCCTGGCTTTTGCAAGGGATGGAAAGAGACCCTTTTCATAAAATCTAGTCAAGACACCCATTCACAACAGAGGGCTGCGGGAGGGGGCCAGATCCACTCTAGATTTTTAATAGAATAATAATAATAATAATTGCAGCTCTATCCAGAGTTTGCAACATTCTCAGTAATGCTCTTTGGGCATTAGAGCCCCCAGGTTGCTATATCATCCAACTGCCTCTATTACTATTTTTTATTATTATTATTATTATTATTATTATTATTATTAAAAATACACTTCTTTAGAATTCATCTGCTGCCTTTATCCAGCATGCTGTAAATTTTTCTCCCACTCGGAGCCTTTTCTCCCACTCGGAGCCTTTCAAAGGTATTCAGGCCATCATCCATTGTGGACGACAGAGCTGCCAATCTTGGGGTGCCCCCTGTTTTTGGAAACTGCATGGAAAAAAATTTATTTGGTATTTATCTACTTGCACGCACACAGTCGGATCAAGCAAATACAGCCCCCTTTAGAAGGAGTGGATGGATCTCAGATGGGGACCGTCGGCTGTCATCCATTGTGGATGATAGAGCTTGTAGTCTTGGGGTGCTCCTGGTTGAGGCAGCCGCAGGATTCTCTGCATGGAAATATTTATGTGGTTTTTATCTGCATGCAAACTCATAGCTGAATAAAGCAAGCAAACAGCACCATTTACAAGTAGAGAGGATGGATCTCAGAAGGGGCTGTAGATTTAACTGAGGCTGTTAACTGTGGATGATAGAACTTGTAGTCTTGGGGCGCTCCCAGTTTTGGAAGCCGCAAGATTCTCTGCATGAAAATATTTATCTAGTACATAAATCTTAATAGTTGAATAAAGCAACTGAACAGGGCCATTTAGAAGTAAAGGGTGGATCTCAGAAGGGGACTGGAGATTTAATTGGAGCTGTCATCCATTGTGGATGATAGACCTTGTAGTCCTTATGGGGCACCCTGTTGAGGCAGCTGCAGGATTCTCTGCATGGACATATTTATGTGTTATTTATCTATACACATAAACGTAGTTGGATATAGCAAGTGGGGACTGTAGATTTAACTGGGGCTGTCATTCATTGTGGATGATAGAGCTTGTAGTCTTGGGAATACCCCCAGTTTTGGAAGTTGCAGATTCTCTGCATGGAATATTTATGCGGTATTTATCTACACGTATGCACATAGTTGAATAAAACAAGGGAACAGCACCATTACAAGTAAAGGCTGGATGTCAGAAGGGGACTGTAGATGTAACTGAGATGGTCATCCATTGTGGATGATAGAGCTTGTAGTGCTACTGGTTTTGGAAGTTGCCTGATTCTCTGCATGGAAATATTTATGCAGTATTTATCTACATGTATGCACATAGTTGAATAAAGCAAGGGAACAGCACCATTTAAAGTAGAAGCTGGTTCTCAGATGGGGACTGGCGATTTAACTGGGGCTGTCATCCATTGTGGATGATAGAGCTTGTAGTCTTGGGATGCTCCCGGTTTTGGAAGCTGCAGGATTCTCTGCACGAAGAAGTATTTATGTGGTATTTATCTACATAATTTATGTGGTATTTACCTAGACATAATTGAATAAAGCAAGTGAAGAGCACCATTGAGAGGCAGAGGCTGGATCTCAGAAGGAGACTGTCCATTTAATGGAATGATTGAAAACAGATATTGGTTTGTATCTCTCACACAAACAGAAGGACAGTTGTACACACACACACACACACACACAATATATGAGAGCCAGTGTAGTGGTTTGAGCCTCGGACTATGACTCGGGAGACCAGGGTTCGAATCCCCTTTTCTCACTGGGTGACCCTGGGCAAGTCACACTCTCTCAGCCCCAGAGGCTGGGAATGGCATACCTCCTCTGAACAAATCTTGCCAAGAAAATCCCATTATATGGCCTTAGGGTCACCATCAGTTAGAAATGGCTTGAACACATGCAACAACCACAACATGGGTGCGCATATATGTGTGCATTGTGCTTACCTGGGAGTAAGGCGCCTACATACCTAGCAGGACTTACTTTTGAGAAAATTTGCAAACAATCCAAGCTTGTGGGGGGTTCTGTGTGTGGCTTCACAAATCCAAGCTTGCCTTGAGGTTACTTACTTACATGCTCGGTTTGGAAAGTGAATGATGGGACTTCTTGTCCTGACCGAGAAATCAG